AACCAGCGATGATGGATGCCATCCACGACATACCCCTAGCCAACTTCTTTTTTGCTATTACCGTCCGCTTGTCCGGAGCCTGGAGATGACTTTAGTTCTTTTTTTGATGAAAAAACATTCATTGTTGGCACGCCAAAAGTGGCACTTGGCGGACAGACCCGGTGGAACTCCGCAAACTGCCTGTCAAGATGTGAATAGACTCCACGACGCAAGTCCGTTTGACCCACTGGCAACATGCGCTATAGACGGAAGGCACCGTGTGAATCTGATCAAGATGACGGAGCGGCGTGGCGTCCAGCGCAAGTGTAGAGATAAGCTCGACGAAATCGTTGTTTAGCGCGACGCTAGCGGAAACTACCCCGGGTCTCGTTCATTCCGTGGTTCAGATCGACCATCAAATTGCCCGGTTGGTGCTTGGGCAGATCCACGACTGGCACTTCTGACATACGAGAACCATGCTATTGGCTAATAGTCCCAGCAACAGCGCCCTGCGCCGGCGACCCTTACATGGCGTCGCCGTCTTCTCCAGATAATGAGTAATTAGTAATCTACCTAGGTAGTTTTCAGGGGAAAGTGTACCGGATAACCCTCAGTTGCCGAACAACTACCGAACAGGTCTTGCCAATCAGTGGTCTTGCTTACTGCTCACCAGTAGCCATGAGAGTTCATCAGTGAGCTGTCTTACATCGACCACTCGATAACCAGTCCATTTGCGGAAGTTTGTCGCGTCGCAGTGCAGTCATTTTGGCATTCCCATACGACCGAGTTCCATAGGTAGAGGAGCACTTTCTTCAACCTCGTCTATCCATAGGACGACGAACGTCGCAACATCCGGCAAGAACACGAGGCTCAAACTATGCGATGAGAAGGTTCGCCCATACCCATAGTCTAGGTAATTTGATGCGTGCAACATCTGCAAGTGCCGTCAGCCTCGCCACCATACTGGCCTCTTACTCTTTGAAGACTCAATCGTCACTACCCACGCATCCTCCACCTATCTCAAATACTACAAAGTGTAAACGGCACTAAGTCTTGGCAAGATGTTCGGTCCCTAATAACAGTCACCCAAAGAGACATCAGCACCAAGCGTTCGGCAGTGTATGCGGTCTATCGCCGTTGCCTGTACGTCCGTAAGACTCCCGAGGCTATGAAGCCATCCCCGCATATCTTCTCAGTACTACTAGTCCAAGAACCTCGGGAACTTCGCCGAATCTTCTCTTATGTTTACAGGACACGAAAAGGCTTCGTGATGTGAGCCTTTGGGAAACGTCTTTGGACATTACTCAGTGATATTAGTTAGCAGCTTCCTGGTCTTGATGTAGTCGATTCAGTGGTGTCTGACGGGGAGGTGGCTGACTAGCTCGGTGTCCATGTAGGCCCACCTGCATCAGTGATGATGGGGGGTTGCTGCCCGTTCGCTGGGCAGCAAAGAACAAGCAGAAAGAGCGAGTGTGACACGATCGGTGTAGAATTTCATCCTTTGATGCGCCACTTGCGACTACTCTCGCTTGTTGAATGTGCTGGTCTTAGAACGCAGGCACCACGCGACTGAGCAAGACAGTAAATAATCGCAATGCAAGTGTATTTCCCACACACCATTGTTTACATTATGTAGCAGTATATTGCTGCTTGCAACTACATAAACATGTTCATGCCCTGGCCTTCGTTTAATTTCATAGGTCGCACGGCTTCAGGATGTTTACGGTCTGGGCCACTCAATGCAGCATGCAAAGTCACCCTTAAACTGATTCAACATGTCACCATGTTGACATACGTGGTTTTGAACTAGCAAACCGACAGGAAGTTTGTGTGAGATCTTATGTTTGCTGTCCTCTGCGACTTTAAGATAAGATGATTCGTCACTGAGGAGATCGTGCCTGTAGCCTCACCACCATGGCAGACATGACGGTACGAAACACTGCGAACCTAATCGCCAATATCAATAATGGCGTCATGGTAGGCCAGAACTTCGGAAATATCAACCATCAGTCCGGATGTCATACCGATGAGCAGCGATTCGACAAGTGTACCAATGCGCTCTGGGTAACAGACCCTGATGTTGACCGCGAACATGTCGTGAACACTAAGGGTAGCCCCGTTTCTGGCACATGCGACTGGATTTGGCAAGACAGCACTTTCTCGGGTTGCTTGAACGGGTCCTCATCCAAGACACTATGGATTACAGGCGGGCCTGGAAAAGGCAAGACAATGATTTCGGTTCACATCACGGGCTTGCTCAAGGAACTATGCTATGCTCGCAACCAAGTCTTCGCATACTTCTTCTGCGACCATCGGGACACAAATCGCAGTTCAGCATGTGCAATCCTCCGCACTCTAATACATCAAATTATCGAGCAAAAACGACGTCTGCACAGCAAGATCTTCCCGTACTTTCAAGAGGATCGGAGAGCGAAGGCTACGATACAGTCGCGTGATGCCCTTTGGCGAATTTTCACCGAGCTACTGCACGAGGAGGAGCTTGGAGGTCTGGTGTATTTGGTCGACGGGCTTGACGAGTGCGATGACGACACAGCTCGTTGGATGGCACAGAAGCTGTCCAACCTTCATACCAACAGCTCCGGCAAAGATGTGAGGGACTTGAGGATTCTCGTTGCGAGTCGGGATATCGCAAGCATGAACTTTTCGTCCAGAATCGACCTAGACACCATACAAGACCCGGGCTACGACGAGAGTATCACCAGATTTATCGATGCGCGAGTAGCTGAAATGGCAACTCAGGTGCCCGGTTGCACACCAGCGCTACAGAGTCAAGTCAAAGAAAGCCTGCAGTCACGCTCGGGTAATTCTTTCCTTTGGATTGGTTGCGTAATGGGCGAACTTTCGGTCAAAGAGACGCCTACGGAGATCGAGAGTTCGCTAGCCGAGTTTCCTACCGGACTTTGCCCGCTCTACAACCGACTTCTTCACCAAGTACACTCAAAACCGCAGTATCGCTCAGATTGTATCAAGCTGCTGCATTGGGTAGCACAAGCGATGAGACCGATGAGCTTGGCTGAGCTAGCAGCGGTGCTGGACATCGATGGGTCCGAGACGATATCAGTAGAGCAAAGACTCAGTGATCGTATCACATGGTGCAAGTCTTTGCTTATCGTCAGACATGTCGCTGACACTATTCAAGCGCCTACGGTCGATTTGGTCCATTACTCATTGAAGGAACATCTGTTTGAGTCGAGCGGGGGGGATAACGCTGCCGACATTCAGCCCTTTTTCTGTCAAGCAGATGCAATACACCACCAAATCGCGCGTACGTGCCTGGATTATCTCTACAATAATCTCTCTAATGAAGAGTATTGGTTCTACGATGATGGAGTTATGAATGCGCGACTTCCGCTAGTATCATACGCCACGGTATACTGGCCAAACCATGCGAGGCTCATCGGAAAAGACCTGGCTATGGATCTCTTGGACAGCAGAATCGATACCTTCTTCAAAGAAGGCGGCATGGCATATACCAGCTGGTGGTGGTCATTCCGAATGGCAACGAGCCCTTCGTTGAAACAGGAACTGCCTGTTAAGTTCGCTGATCCCGAAATAGCCCCCTACAGCAAGGAGCTAGAAACCATCCCTCCAATGCATCTTTCGGCAGCTCTAGGCGTGCTGCCATGGATGGCGTCCTTTTCTACCGTTCCAGATATGCCACGTTCCGATGTCGTGAACCTCTTAGGTCTACGAGGGCAATCACCACTAAATCACGCTACCCAGAGAGGTCACAAAGACGCGATCGCTTGGCTGTGTGATCAGGGCGCAACCATAGACGATAAATCAGTCTTTACCGCTGCCGCTGAGGGTCATACTAGCGTCCTCAAGTATCTCCTTGATCGTGGAGGTAGCCCAAACGTCAGAGCATGCAATATCTGGACTGGAAAAAGCGAAGAAGAAACAGCACTCTGGGATGCGTGTGGTCAAGGTCTCGAAGACGTTGTGCATGTCCTACTAGATGCCGGAGCTGATACAGATGCACTCAGTCTACCATCATGCTTGTATGAGGCTTTCGGAGTTCCTACGCCTGCCTTCGTTGCAGCCTGCTTTGGAGGCAGCCTGAAGCTTGTAGAGACCTTGTTATCCCGAACCAAAGACCTGCATCTTTACCTGGATTACGGCTTAGAATACGCGATTGGGTATGGCCATGAAGATGTGATTCGGTTTCTCCTACCAAGAATTAGCACGGTTGGTCATCAAAGCGAGCGAGAAAAGAGGTTCCTGTATTTTGCCCTAGCCTCTAACGTGTCTTCATCGATCGTCGAGCTCTTATTGGATTCTTTCCGTTCGAGCGCAGACTCGGTGGTTCGCTTGCACAACGATGGATCATCCTCGAGAATGATCGAATTGGCATTCCTTCTCAAGAGCCACGAGACTCTGCAGATGTTGCTGAAGAGGGGTGCCATGCCGACGACTAAGATGCTGCGCATTGCTACCGAGACAGACGACGCAAGCCTTCTCGAACTCTTCCTGCAACGAGATGTTGACATGAGCATGTCTCTTCATATTGCGGCCAAGCACGGTTCTCTTCAAGCTGCGAAGTTGCTGGTCGCAAAAGGAGTAGCGATCAATGGTACTAATGGACAAAAGAAGACACCACTCATCATCGCGGCTGAAAATGGCTTTGCAAAGGTTGTGGAGATGCTTCTCGAGAACGGAGCCAGCTCCAAGACCAAGGATAAGGGGGGCAAGAATGCCCGCATGAGAGCTGAAGCAGGAGGCCATGCAGGTGTGGTTCAGATCATCGATGACTGGGCTCTCAGGGCGAAGAAGTAACGTATTCGCCGTGTCGCTTTCGGTCAAAACACTCCAAATATGTGTTCTGATATCATTACCTTGTTCTAGGCGTATTACTTGAATGAAGAATCCATCTACCAACGGTGAACATGTGATGATAATACAGTTTGCTAGAACCATGTGATGGTCTGCGCTGAGATCTATAACTAGAAGCGTCGCAACTTTGCCGTCCTGCGTTATCAATCCTCTTAGCACATCCCAAGATGGCAGAAGCGGCTGGACTTACACTTGGTGCTCTCGGCATCGCTGCACTCTTCAACAACGCCCTTGAATGCTTTCAGTGCGTTCGTGTAGCCAAAGATTTCGGCCAAGACTTCGAGACATACCGCATCAGGCTCCATCTATCCGAGGTTCGGCTCTCTCATTGGGGCAGTGCCGTGGGTGTTACAGACACGGACGCTGAAATCCCTCTCCATTTCTCTCCGGACGAGCAAGAAGTTGCGCAACAGACGCTTGAGCATATCATCAAGCTATTTCAGGTAACGGAAGAAAAGGCCAAAAACTTGGAGAGAAGATCATCGGAACCTGAACTCAGCGATCGCATGAGGAAGTTGTGTGATAAGATGAACAAGCTGGCTCTGGGGAGAACGAACAAAGCATCCAAGACGAACGACGGCCTGTACACCAAAACGAAATGGGCGCTGTTCTCTCGCGACGGTTTCATTAAGCTCGTTGAGTCTATTTCCAGTCTAGTCAACGAGCTCATAGCCGCTTTTCCAGATGATATCAAGGAGAAGAGGGAGCGACTGTGCAACGAAGACGTAGAGGAGCTTGTTGCGAATGAACCGGAACTCTCAGTTCTGCTGAAGGATGCTTTGGGCGAGGATGACGAACAGATGCAAGGCGCATTACAGAAGGCTGTTGCTGCGACACATCAGAATACCACTACGTTCTCTGGTTCTGGTGAGAATAGAGGGCTGCAACTAGGTCAGAATTATGGTTCGATGACGAACACTTTTGGTAGATAAGCTAGGACATCGAAGCTATCGCAATCATATCGTACAACAAAGTGCAACTAAAATGACCAGCCCGAACCAAAACCAGACCGCAGTCTAAGTTACTGGACACTCTATCGTATCCGGTAGATAAGCTAGGGGGTTTGGTTGTGATATGACTGCATCGATACGGTCAAGAGGCTGTCGGGGGTGTGAAAAGTATAACAAAAAACCTATGTCGTCTGTCCAGCATTGCCATTTGACCATCTGGGCAAAGCAGTATTGGTGTTGTTGTTTTGAAACCTTAGAAACCTTGGAAGTCTTGAGCGCGTCACGCGCTTTCGCTCCGGGCATGACGTCGCGTGCCATCGGAACTGAGCCCCACAACGTTCCGAGAAATTTTGGCTTTCACCAGTCATCACTCTAATGCCCACTCGCCATCCCCGCATCCCAAATGTCAAACCCACGAATAATTCACTCCATATCGCTTCCATACGTTCTTTGGTGCAAGTCGCTGCATCAGAGCCCCGCCGCATCCCGACTTCCACGCTGAGAAGATCAATTAACTCCTTCACGCCCACCGCCAAACTCTACGAGCCGATTACTGCGACCGCCCCAACTAAGTACAAGATCTCCGTCGTAACGATGCCTGAAACTAGCGTTCGGCGCGTGGATCCTCAGAAACTGGGGAAGATCACATTCAAGAAGTCGGAGGACTCAATCGACGAATGGGACATAGAATACGACAATACAGAGGGTGAGGCTAATGCCGGAACACTGAAGCAAGCAGCGGAGGAGCTTGTGAATAAGAACACCCCGGTCGCCTTTCCAACAGAGACCGTATACGGACTTGGCGCGGATGCGACAAGAAGCGCGGCGGTAAAGGAGATCTTCGCGATTAAAGGACGACCAGCCGACAACCCTTTGATTGTCCATATACACTCTTTACCTCAGCTACGATCGCTACTTCTGGGCAAATTAGACGTTGTGGGAGACGGCAAAGATGCTGGAAAGGATCCCATTCCGGATATCTACCGGCCGGTGATTGAGCGCTTCTGGCCTGGACCGCTTACTATCATTCTACCGGCCCCTGAGAATTCGATCCTCGCACCAGAGGTGACAGCAGGTCTTCCGACTTTTGGCGCACGAATGCCGCGTTCTATCATCGCCTTGTCCTTGTTACGGCTATGCGGTCGCCCACTCGCCGCACCATCCGCAAATGCGTCCACACGACCTTCGCCCACTGCTGCGGAACACGTTTACGACGACTTGAACGGCAAACTAAACCTGATAATCGATGGCGGGCCATGCGAAGTAGGCGTTGAAAGCACAGTCATAGACGGACTATCGAGCCCACCTGCGATACTGCGACCGGGTGGCGTCACTGTGGAACAATTACGGCAATGCCCAGGATGGGAGAACGTAGTGGTCGGATACAAGGATAAGCAAGCGGAAGACTCGAGCAAACCGCGCGCCCCTGGGATGAAGTACAGACACTATAGTCCGAAGGCGTCGGTCCTTCTATTTGAGGCAGGCGCGAGCCAACCTACATTGGAGGAGCTCAAGAGCAAGAGGCGCATTGGTGTCGTTAGGACCAAGAGTTGGGACAAAGTGTTGGGTTTGGGCGCCGAGAAGGTGAAGACATTGGATAAGAATGGACCAGGAATTTGCGCTTCACCGGACACGGCCGCTTCTTTAGACGTCAACGACTCGCCATCGCGCCTTTCGAACCTTCTGCGATCTGTCACTCAGCACCAAATACCACACGCCGATCATTACATTGTGAAGCCCGAAGCAGTCCAGGTTTGGGAGATCAATCTTGGCGCGAAGACTGAGGATGTTGCCAGAGGCCTATTCTCAGCACTAAGAGAGCTCGACAAGAAAGGCGTCGAGGTCATATATGTGGAGGGTATCGACGATAAGACAGGTGACGATATTGCCGCCGCGGTCATGAACCGACTTAGAAAAGCGGCAGAGATCAGAACATGAACGGGGATGAACATGGCGCACATCCTGATTGAATGAGCACGCTTCCAATTTTCACAACCTTGACGCTTCACTTCTGATTGTCAGTATCGATATTCGACCACAAAAGATATGTTGACACGTCGATGAACAACTCAGTGATGCATTTAGCGAGTGTGGATATCTGTTCACGATAAAACGACACTCCCACACCTCTCCTTTGCGACAAACATCGATCCTCTTACTATTTTGCAAGTATTTTAGCGCCGCTATCATGTCCACTCGCAATGTATATCTCGGCCTTATTGCACTGTTCGTGAGCTGCGCTCTAGGAGCTCCCAACGACGAGACCAGCAATCAAACATCTACGGCGACCGATCAGCTGCCCCCAACAGGCAGTTCTACCACGCATGTTAAGGTTACTGCAACGACCACAACCACTCCACCTTACGTGCCACCTCGTGAGACTGGCAATTATACCTCCGGGTTCGCCGTCCCTCCATCACCAGGCTCAGTGACGGCACCGTCCGATAGACCTGATTACAGTAAACCCACTAGCACAGCTGTTACTCTCATATGCCCCCATCCAACTGAACCATGCATCATCGACGGTATTCCCATATGGCCTTCTGGTACCACTTCTCTCGTCTTACCGTCTTTTACATATGATCCTTTACCGACATCTATGCCTTCTGGATCTCTTCCAAGCGCGGGCAGTACGATGGTGACTGACACGCTTGCCACGTCTGCCAGCCCGACCAGTCCGATGGGTAAAAGTACTACTTGCTCCCACACTATGTCGCATATTGTACCTGGCAATTCCAGCACCGATCTGCCTTGGACACCTGTATTGCCTTGGATAACGCGCTGGGAAACCTTGAGCATACCGTCAAAAAGCCTCCCTACCTTCTCGGTATTGAGCAGTGCCGCATCTGGAAACTCAGCGACACCATTGGCAATACCGATTATCTCTGGGTCAGAGACTTCCGAATTCTACTGGCCCACAAAGAGCAGCTTAGATCCCAGTAGCTCAGCCACTTCGTCTATCACGAGCATCGGCGAGGAGTCAACGGCATCAATCTCCTCACCCAACGTAAGTACTACGGCCTCGGCAATAGCAACCCCCCTCTACATCTTCTGCTATATCAGCTCACCCACGTTGCAAGGCTAAGTTCACACAGTCTTCCGATGCGAAACCACCCGTGAAAGCTCGAGACACGGAAACAAAGGCGAGTAACATTAGCAGTTCTTCCATCCTCATTCTGAAGACCAGGGACATCATCGACGCATCACTGTTCAGAGGTATGGATAACGCAACACCTTCTGCGCGACGAGACGAAGAGAGCAAAGCCACTAAGAGGAGGATAAATTACTGGACGCGCTTCTTCGCCGTTGCGGAACCTGCAGGACGGGTGAGGGAGCACTGCTTGGCCTGTGATCAAGAGGGAGAGGTTACTTGCTTGCCTGACGGAAAGTATACGTGGTGTACGGATGGGTGTGCTGTGACACTGAAAATGGGCTGTGATATGGTTTGCAAAGAGGGGGTTATACGCAAAGAAGGGAAGCACTGTGTGCGATAAGGGTATTCGTAGATATGATTTCGTATTGTAATAACGATATCTTTACTTCTTCGGAAGCAGCAAAAGTCTTGCACGTGTCTACATCCATACGTCCCTTTCACACAACTGCATGAAGGTTTGCCACCCATCGTCAAACTTCCAGGGTCGTCACGCCGACGTTTCACCACGACAACGTCAACCCGAAGAACCCAAAGTCAACCAACTTATCAGTGTGCGCAATGAACTGTTGCCACCAGCGTTTCGGAACTCACTGGCTTTCAGCGAACCGCTGTTTGTCTTGAAACACCTTATTGTAGTGAACCACATGTTCGATTGCCATCTCGGAGGAACATGATGCGTTCGGTCCCAGTCCTTGGAATTCCAAAGAGGCTAAGTTACCATACCGGTAAAGGTGCCTGACGATCGACACTGTACGTCACCTGCAGGGCAGTGCATCCTAGCCGACCAACAACCTTGGATGATCTGGGACTCGCAGTTTCACAACTCTCCGGGGCTTACCACGGTGCATCTGGAGAGAGGCCCTGCATCACGGCTTGTCTATCTCGTAGGTTTGTGCTAAAGACTGTGTGCTCTGCGATCTACCGACGTCACGTGCGCACTGTTAGAATCTGGACCGACGATTCCAGGCCACCCACGCACCACGCCCGGGTCGTTGCTTCCGATGCCGAACCGTGCCCACGATCCAGAACTGTCGGAGCGAGTGGAGATCATTACGTGTACTCGCGACCTCGCGACGAGCTATGATATCGCAACCTCGCCCTTATTCCCAGCCCCAGGAATTTCAGAACGACAAACAATGGCAAACGTAGACACATGTCATGCCCAGCTGTTGGGAGATGAAGTTTGACACACCGGACGCAGAGCGCATGCGTTAGGCTGCGCAAGTCCAGCAGCGCTTATGCAGGAACCTCCTTCCTATCAATAGGCTATATCAATAGCGCGAGGCGGCCTTAAGCCCTAGTTTGTGTTACACTTTGTAGAGATAAAATTTTATTCTATCTAATTACTAATAATACTACTAAACTTAATAATCTTAATAAGTTAGCTAGCCTAATAATACTAAATTTATAATATATAGCTTATTTATTTATAATAGTAAAGCTATAATTACTATCTTTAATAGCTATTTATAATACTATACTAAACTTATATAACTATTTTTCTAACTTTTATAGTATTAAACTATATAATAACTACTACTAGTATTTTTATTTATATATTAAATACTATATATAAAATATAAAATTTTTTTTATTTATAAGATACTCTTTTTACTTTAAATATAAGCTTAGTAGTTATTATATATAAAATTTACTTTTATATTTCTTTTTTACTATATATTTTATAAAGTAGTAATTTAGTTTTTTACTATTTTAGTATTTTTACTACTTAGTATAGCTACTTTTAAGTATTTTTTTAGAGTAGTAGTATTAATAGTAATAGTATTAAAATACTTAGTATATACTTATATTTTACTTTTTTTAAGTTTTAAATATATTTTTTTAAAGTTAATAAAGATTTTTTTATTATAAAATTACTAAACTTAAGTAAGACTTAAGTTTATATAAAAGTTAAAAACTTAATTTAAAAAAGTAAGTAAATTATTAAAAATAAAGTTAATAATACTATAAAAGCTTACTAAGCTAATAAAGATAAGTTTTAATAAAGAAAGTATACTAAAGTATAGAACTTAGAAATAAAAGTTCTTAAAATTATATAAAATAAAAATATTAGTATTATTAAAAATATTTATTATATAGTAATAGCTTTAAAAGTAGAAATTTATTTAGAAAAGTTCTAATATAGTATAAGTAGTAGTAAATATATAAGAAGATATACTAACTTATATATAAAAATATATAGTATTTTTACTTTATAACTTACTTTATAACTTATTTTAATAGTTTTCTAACTAATAAGCTATAGTTATATTACTATTTTATTTAAATTTTAAAAAAAATAATAAAGTAATTATATTACTTATATAGTAATTTTTTTAAAATAAGCTACTTACTAAAGTATTAGTAGCTAAGCTAAAAAAGCTTAGCGTACTTTTATATATACTTTAGATAGAGTATATATTAAACTTTAATTATAACTTATTCTAAGATACGTAGTAGAGAGCTATTACCTATTTAAGACTTAATTTTTTTTTTTTAAATCTAAGATACCCTAATAACGCTGTTAGTACTAAAACATCGATAGCGCAGGGCTGGTTGACAGTCGCCTCGACTCGTATTGGATGCGTGTTAGTGTGCCAGCGAATGAGGTGCCTCACCGTGGAGAATCAGTTCTCTTGTTGCTGGCACAAAATCGGGGAGGCAGACCTCGAGCGCAATGTCTTCAGGCGCATACGATGGGAGTTCTCGTTGTAATTGTGTGACGTCGGTGGAAGCGTCACAGCTGCGTTATCTGTTCATCGGCAGACAGAAGAAAACAAAGACGTTCGGAGCCCGATAGAGGGCGGGATATGTCGGTAATTATGACAAGGACCAGCCTGGCGGAGCGCTTTCGCGTGCGTACCACGTTGTTGTGGTTGACGTGGGTGTAAGGTCACCGTTGATGCGACCCGACACCTTGTCCATGAACACCGGAAATAATCTTATCGTGACTTGTGAATCTGTCGACGCTTCAGAACACTGCGAACATAACAATGGATAATAGAGGTGTGCTAAGCTGAGCTGAAGTGCATGAGGAAGGGGGCCGGCTGAGTACGAGGTCGCGCGCGGAGGGCCTGCCGTGCCACATCGGTTGGTATTTTTGCATCGGACCGCCTCAATGTTGACTCGTTGATACGAGAAAGCCTCGTCAGCATCGCATACGCCCTCTCGGCACACCTCCAGTCCTGAGCCCCTTTGGGTCGCGAGCCCGAACACGGTTAACGCTCAACAAACAAGACGATGGTCGCCGGGATGAGGGCCTCGTCATCGCTCGATAGAACTGGTCAGACTCCCGCAGAGGCGATCACACTTTCGGAAATGAGAGCGTCTGCGTCTAGAATACTCGATCAACCCGCGCGGTCTTTGCGCCCGGCCCCACCCCTTGGGATTCCGCGAGTACCAAGACTTGTGAAGGATCTGTGGTCCTGTCATTATGTGGAGACCAACGCACACCACACAGCGAACGTCGATAACATCCACTTGGGCGACATGTCTGACAGGATGACTTTCACGTCTATCGATAGAGCAGCTTGCAGACGCAAAAAGCAGATCTGACACCGAAACCGACGCAAACGGTATACGGCCCCTGCTGGCATGCGTCGGTGAGCGGGTGTACCTGAATGTGGCGGCTACGTGAAACGCACGGCGCCATGCGGTAGCTAATCAAGACGGACCACGACCTTAGCGGCTCAGACCTCTTCTGAGCTGTGAATGGCCAAGTAGGTTATTTCCACCTGAACCCCTGGCTTACCCGCTTGCGCAGAGCCTGAAGGTGTGAAAGGTT